CAATCACGATTTACAAAATATGAAGTAAATATATAAGGAGAGTTTTATCTTAATTTATATAAAAAAATGCTTATAAATACTTTTAGAAATGATTTCAAAAGAGCACAAAGTTAATGGCCTACTGCATATCCCAATGCTAGTGGGGTTTTGCATAGGGGTTCTTTCCTATTGCTAGGGTTTGGCTTGATTCAATTTTTCTAGCAAGGTCAGTTGGTAAGAAAAATATTGGATAAAAAATTACTAAGTGATTTCTAAAATAAAATTTTCATGTAAATCATTGTAAAGACGAACACTTTTGGGTTTAGTAGCACAAAATGTCACCCCTTTGTAGGAGAGATCACGAGTGCAAACATGCGCTGATGTGTGCGGATGTGGGTGCTTGGATATATGTATGTGGCGTTAAATTGTTAAGTTAAAAAATATAAATCACTAAAAAATTTCACCTATTTTCTTTTAATTTTGTTAAAAAAAAAAGTGCTACCTCTAATCCTTAATATAAGAACTAATTAGAAGCTAGATTTGGTCCTAAAACCTGAATATAATATTTCAATCTATATGGTCTTTTAAATTAACAATTTTTTTCTATAATATCAAGAGGTTTTCACTAAGAAATAATTTTAATACACATTATTAAATATGGTAGTTAGGGGAAGTTAATACATATTTGTTATGATTAACCAACTTAACTAGTTTTTTTAATCTCTTTAAATTAATTATCTAGTCTTTCTATTAAAGACTAAGGGTTTGTTTGGTTGGAGGGGAAGGTAGGGGGGGAGGCCCCTCATTTGATTAAAAATTTTGGAGGGGAGGCAAGCCAAAATGTCCCCTCCCCTCCTCTCCCTCCCCCCATTTTAACTCCCCTCCAAATTGGGGGTTTTTGGAGGGGAGCTAAGTTTTTGGACCACTATACTTTTATGGTTTTTTTAATATTCCACTACTACCCATAAAATATATTATTATAATATTTATTTCAAATAAAAAATATATTATCCTAAATAAAAAATAAAATAAAAATTATTATAATTAAAAAATATATTATAAAAAATTATTTAAAAATAAAAATTATAATATTATAAAATTAATTGTTTTTTATAAATACATTATTTATTAAATATATTTTAAAGCTGAAAAAAAGGATAGCCTAAAGAGAATAAAATTTCATTTTTCTTAGAACATATAAAATTTTTTAATTTGATTATTTTAAATATATTATTATATTAATTAGAATAAAAAATTACTTTACTAATTTTTTAATGCACATATTAACATGATAAGACTGAATTTTTATTAAATTATGTAATTTAAATCAAGATGTAAATTAATTTATATAATATATCAATAAAAATATAAACTAATATGTAAGGATAAAATGGTAAATTAATTATAACTATCCTTTCCCTCCCCTTTTTGAACCAAACAAGGGATCATTAAATATCCTCCCCTTTCTTTCTTTTTAATCAAACCAAACAAGGTGAAGATAAAATCTCTCCTACCCTTCCCTACCCTGCCCTCCCTTCCTTCCCCTACTTTCTCCTCAAACCAAACAAGCCCTAAAGCTAGTAGGATAGATATGGTTGGATGATATCAAACTGGCCAATATGATTGACTCTGTCTGTTACCAAACTTAACCAAGTAGTCCAATATACTACCTCTGGCCCTAAATATAAAAATCAGTTGACTAATTTTAGTAGATTAAGAAAATAAGTTAAGTTTGTTATTTATAATAAATAGATGTTGTTTTTTTAAAATATCCTTGTTAATCAAGTTTATTGGCTAGAACTACTACTATTAGGAGGACTATCTTAGAAAAAAAAAGATAAATATGAGAGACAAAGTGGATTAGGATCTTATATTTAGGATCAAAATAAAAATCAAATAAGTTCTTATATTAAGAACCGGAGGTAGTAATTATTTATCCAACTCAAAATTATTAGAACAAGTCCTTTACATTCAAATGAAAATCTGAGAGAAATCAGAGTGTTTATAATTTGCGAAAATTATTATGAACATATAACCTTTTCTTGCATAATATGAATTGAACGAAACTAGATAGATAATTTGCAACCTTGCTATTCTTTTTGGGAAGACAAGGGTTGAGGCATATAGGTCCTATTTGGTATAATAAAGCATTAAAAATAAAGGATATAGATTGAAATTGTAATTGAAAAAAATTATTAAAAAAGTATTTAGCATGAATAATTACTTGTTACATATGATTAGACAAACCCATTGAGGTGGGATTGGAGAATACCACATTCCACTATGGCGTTCTCCAATCCCACACACATATATATAGGTTTGTCTAATTCCACGTAACAAGAAATTTTTCATGTTAAGCATTTTTTTAACAAAGTTTTTCAATCCCAACGGCAATCCCTACCTTTTATTTTCAATGCTTCCTACCAAAAGAGACTATAGAGGAAAAAACACGAGTAATTATGAGCACAAAAGCTCATTACACAAATTAATTAGCAAAATATTTCTACGCCCAAAGGAGGATCATCATCTATATATAATTAGTATCGTTATTTGCTTCTCTAAACATATGACTAATTTCCAAAAAAATATACAAGGTATGCTCTCTTATTTTCACTTGTGCAACCCTATTATTTATTACTCCCCTAGTCCTAAATATAAGACTTATTTTATAATACAATTTAAATTATAAAATAGGTTTTATATTTAGAACCGAAAGAGTATTTATGTGAAGCAAACGTGACCAATAAAATATAGAATTAATTAAAGTTACTTCAAGACTGGACCCAAATTGAAGTTATACTTAAAATATTTTTATTTGACCTAGGAATGTTTAATTATCAAGTTTTGGATCAAATATTAGACATTTCTATGCATACCAGAATAGAAGTTTAAAATATGTCTAGTTTAACCCAAACTCAACTATTTTATTCAATTCAAACTGGAACTTCACAGACACTTAAAAAGCTAAGGTCTGCTTAAATTTGAAACTATTCTCAAAAAAAGAAAAACTCCAATAGCCATGTTATAATCTACTTTATCAATAATGCTCATAACTTCTAAAATCTAACGTCTGCCACTATTCATCAGTTTGCATCACTAATTATTTCCTTAACCGAATTGTCCATTGTTTGAAACATTACAAGTAATAAAACCACATTATTTCCTTGTGCATTATAAGCTGTGTAGTTTACAATAAATTATATGCTTTATTTTAATATTAATGATATGATTAATACAAGCTTTATTGAACAAAAGATAGTTTTTTTTTCACGTAGAAAATGTAGCCCATACAAGTTTTCTGGAAAGAAAGAAAAATCCATTTATCTTGTGAAATTTCTTACTAACACATATAACCTAGCTACGAAAGAAATTAAAGAGAAGGCTTTTTTGTTGGTCTAAATTAAACTAGAATAATTAAAAGTATACAAGTTGACACGTGGGACCCAAGAAGACCATCCCAACCCAGAAACACAAAAAACCTAGCAACAGCCACACTGTACAAACCATGGATAGATGATTCAACGGGAAGATTGAGACACATTGTGTAAAGAAATAAAGCCAGAAAAAGAAAAAGAAAGAAAGAGAAGCAAAGACTTTGCAGGCAGAATATGAGTGGAAGGAGAACTTAGCCTTCTACATCACCATATTACGAAAAGAGAAATCTTAACAACTCCTTTATTCTTGTCTTTTATATGAATATTATGAACCCACATGGTTTCCTGCTAAATTATGCACGAATTGCTACAATAGACATGCTTCCTGTTACATAAACATTGAAGCTAATCTCCATTAAAGACAACATTCCACCTAATGCCCTGGTGTTGATGAAAATGACACATTGTGGGCTAGATGTTTAGTTATGATGATTACTTCAAGGCCACAGGCAACCTCCAGTAAGTCAGTCTTCTTGATTCTGAAACTAATCCATGTGTCCTTTACTTTCTAAGTCTCTTACTCATAACCTATGTTTAACTAAGCAGTCACAATAGCCCATTGGAATTACTATTATCTTCTTCAGTATTCGGTCTTATCTTAATGAATCTATCTCTTTGGTTTGATCAATGAAACGTAATGCCTGCTAAGAAAATTTTAGATTGAAGATAAATGAGAATGAAAGTGAATGAATGGTCTTGAAAAATCTAAGTAAGGGAAAAACTTAATTGAATTTCATTCCTGTCAATTTCCTTCTCCTTTATTTCCTTTAATCCACGTATATCTCAAGATTCATTTCTTACCGACTTCAAGATTAAATTTTTCATGCATCAACATATGAAATTTCATAATAGAATGGATCAATATAGTCTTCAAAAGATTACTCATATGTTGATCATCCAAAAATTAGGGTTTTCAAGATAGAACCGGAAAGATTGATTTACTCCCAATTTATTCTTCAAATATTTTAGCACAATCAAAACATTGATTTGAAAAAAGAAATTCAATTGTGGACTCTTCGACGCAATGAAATCAAACTCTGATCTAAAACAATAATTTTTGTGATTAAAAACACATGTGGAAGCACATGAAATTCTATCGTTAGCTACATATAGAGATATGTTGATTTGGTAATAATACTTCGGGCCTTAAATTGAGAAGCATAGCTTTTGAGAGTGACTAATATATAGAGAACTAAATGAAGAAAAATAAAATCCTTTACAAAGAAAATTTAATCTACTCAAAAAGAAGATTCAAAATAGTGGCAATATTACTTTGTGGACATTAGGAGAGGTCCCACTATGACTTTGTGGGCCTAGAAAAGTGGTCCCCAGTGCTGGCACAAATCTTTTTACCAGTACACAATAGAAAGTGGGAAAAGTAGCTAAGGGGTCACAGGAATTGGGGCGGGTGTCTCCTTTGAAAACATAGGCATAGCGGGGATAGAAAAACAACTAGTAAGAAACATGCCTTCCTATTTAACAGCCTAACCTTCCCACTCCCCTCAGCCACATAAATCCCTCTTGTTCTTATGCCTCTTTCTTCCAGACAACCATAACTTTAGTTCTCTCCATTTGAAACTAGCATAAGCCAAAATCCAACCAATAAATTCCAATCCAAAAACACGAGAATCATATCTTATCAATACCAGCAAATTATGAAGTGGGGTAGAAGAAAATCCTCCTCAGTTTCTTCTTCATCTAAACGATCTTTCATCTCTCATGTATCTCCCCTTTCATGGCTGTCCAAGTTCAAGAAGATGAGAATCAGCACAGAGCCAGTTCCTGGAAAATTGAAACAAAAGGGTGTGCTGAATTCTCCATCGGCTACTTCAATGCAGTATAGTTGTGGTAATGATGGTAGGTTGTACGGTAAGGATGATGACGCTTTTTGGAGACTTTCATTTGGCGAGGACAGCCATGAACGTAAGAAAAGTGAAGATACTGTGAAATCAGCAAGGCACAATTTGGATATAGGTCGTAGATGGAATGCTGAGAAACAGGAAGGAAGAAGAGAGGGGACTTCAACGTTCAAGGAGGATCAAAGAAAGTTGCCAAATGATACTAAGATTCTACCACAGATGAATGAGCGTAGTCGAGGAAAGGAATTTGAAAAGTTGAGGAGGAGATTTGAGAGGAAAGCTCAAAGAGTATTGGAAGAGCAAGTCTTAAAATTGGAAAGAGAAGCAGAGGATGCATCAGCTTTATCGTTAGTGAAGGAGACGCCACAACTTGGATCACCTGCAACAATTTGGACACCAAGAAGACAATCTTTTGCCCATTTTGATGATTTTAAGAAGTCTAGCCATGCGCGAATGAAAGATCGTGCATTTAATACTCTGAGCCTTCAGAAACATGAGAGACAGATTTTACATCAAACTGAGGAGTTGAAGGCAAAGACTGCAAAGAAGAGTGAGGCACCTCAAGTGAGCGGAGAAATCCAAAGGAGGAAATCAAAGAACAGCACTAAGGTCAAAGTATTTTCTCCAAGGATGAGCTCCAATGTTGAAACATGTAAAATAAAGGCTATAGAAGAGATGAGGAAAGCGAAACTAAAGATGAAGAAAGCAAAGGAGAAAATCAGGGAGGGAAAGCAAGGCTTAGATAGCTTTGCCGTGGTAAAGTTTTCATTGGACCCACAACAAGACTTCAGAGATTCAATGGTTGAGATGATCAGAGAGAAGCAGATCAGCCAGCCAGAGGAAATGGAAGAGCTTTTAGCATGTTATCTGACTTTGAATTCTGATGAATACCATGATCTCATCATCAAGGTATTTCGGCAGGTATGGTTCACCATGAACTTAGATAGTAAGGGTATTAAGTTAAACAAGCAATGCTGCTATGACTAGAACTTCTTTCTAATTGATAGCAAACTTGAGCAGAAATTCAAGTAGTTAATCTTCAAACTTCTGTTTTTTCCCGTGATGTTTTGCTTTTAGTTAAAATTCATTCCTTCCTTCAAATATTTCTCATGAAATTCAAGATAAGTTGCTTTAGGTTCACGCACGAGAAACTACAAACAAGAGTTTGCAGAGACGCCAAAAGTGATCTAGCAGTGGTAGGTTTGAGTAGTTATCAAGAGATTTTAAGTTCAAACATCCCCTCAGCTACATACAGTTCATTGTGCATGTATACTAGGGTATATATATAATTGATGTTGGGATACGTGTAGCAATATTTTGGGCATTGGCTTTGAGTTCAGCTACCGGGGGGAAAACCTCTCGAGTGTTAGGTGTACTGAAAATTTTTTGGGAAGGAATCCAAATCTCAAGAAGTTATATTAATGATACAGTAAGATTGATGCATTGCTAAATCCACATCAATCTGATCGTAGTTAGATTTGTGCCTGCCTGGGAGAAAAAGTTAAATCTGACTCATCATATGTGCTTGAACAAGCACAATTTGCCCTCTTCTGGAGGCACATTATCAAAGCCTTTGCATTCTGATATTTTGAAAACCACTTGTGAACTTCAATGCAGACGACAAAGTTATCAGGCATTTTGGAAATTTTAACACTTCATTAGTTCAGAGCTCCTCTTACAAAGTTTCAAGTATCATATCGCGCAATGAATTTAAGCGATTATGTAGTGTTATCAAGAAATTATTTTGCCAGTGAGATCAATAAATGGTACAGAACATATACTACGTATGAGGCCGTATTATAGGCAACAAATTGGAGTAAATAGGGAATTGATGGGTGGCCCAATAGGACCAGTACACAACCCAATAACAATGTCTATACTACCTATAGTTTAACAAAAGCCCTTAAGGATGCTAGAGACCCATTACCTGACAGCTTTCAAGGCTCGCATTTATGCCACAGCTACACAGTGCCAAATAAGTCGATAAACAGTTATAAGGCTAAGACCTAGAGCACTTATAGAAGTTGGCTATCATAAAGCGGGAAGCAAGTAAGTTCTTGCTGACCTTCCATGGATTCATAAATACGTGCCATCAACTTTTGTCATGCTGCGAGAAGGCTCGATATCAAGTAACTTACTTTGCGTTACCCCTTGAACGCCTATCTTCTTGTAGATGCATATACATATTCGTGACCGTGACATATAGCTTGATGACGTTGAGCTCCTAAAAGACACATATTGGGTGACTGAACGGAGGCAAAACTAGCTTGATGGCATCGGGTCATAGCTCCCAGAAGTGAACTCTGCTAGATCCAACAGCTCAATATCACTCGAAAGTTGTAAAGCTCCCACGTCTCACCGAAGCAGAGCACGCCCCACTTCATTACACAATACCGTTCGTCTTTGGGAATCCTACCTCTTGGCCTTAAATGCCTATCCAAAAACAAAAAGCACTGCTTTTGGGCATTTAATCGAGCATATGCTGTGCATTTTACGAAGAAAGGTCAAATAATCTGCATTCGTAGTAATAATGAATACGATCATATCATCACAGTATTTTGCCCTCATTTCCCTATCAAATAGACGTACTGAAAGATAACAGTAGAAACATTTTCAAAAAAAAAAAAATAGGAGATAAAATATATTGAGATTTTAAGTTTAAGATCAAATTTAACATCCAATTATCTATTATATTAAGGACTCCAAATGGTACATATATGTGTTCAAAGAAATTACTCCCTATTGTACTTAATATAAAAATGAAAAAATTTCAGAAAAATACTTTTAAAATTTTAAAATATCAAATCAGGAATTATTATAAAATGGATTGTTATTTGTTTCTCAAATGTAGTCAATTGTTATTAAAGTAGAGTAAAAAAAATTTATTTGGAGTTTTGAAATTCAAGAGGTATTTTTTTGAGACTTTTCATATAAAAGTTAGATAACTTATTTGTAAATATAAAAAAAAATTAGAAAACATAATTATTTCTAAAAATATCTTTTAGTTTCTCTAAAATACACTCTTGAATTTCCCATTTAACTACAGTCAGTTAAAAAAATGTTATATTTTGGTTTTTAAATTATTTTCAAGATGCTTCTGAAAATTTACGGTGACCTCTAATTTTAAACATACTAAAAGAAAAAACTCCACAGCTACAGTCAATTTATTTTAACTTGTAAATTTAAATATGCTAAAAGAAGCAGACATAAAATTTGACTTGAGATTTTTGCTATCACACTTCTGCATATCATGATATGACGTCTATTTGCTCGTCCTTTTGCAATGGCAAACTAAACAGGTTTCTTGGTGCCTTTTTATGAAATTTAATAAAGGGAAAACCATATTAGAGGTACCTATACTTTTTTTCAATTTTCAATTTGGTACCTATGTGTTTTTTGTTCTTAACTAAATCTTTATTTTTCCTCTATTAACATCATTAATCCTTATGTAGAGACTAAAAATATCAATAGAACAAAGTTATAAGAGCTAATGTTGCTAAAAAGATAAAATTAAATGTTTAATTAAAGAGAAAAAAAACACATAGGTACCAAATTAAAAATTGAGAGAAAGTATAGGTACCTTCAATATGGTTTTCCCTTTAATAAATAAAGTGTATTATTCATAACTTATAAATAATATAATTCATTATAAAATATGAAATTTATAGTAATTTATGTACCTTTAGAATTTTCTAGTATTATATTTAAGAATTAAGAAATACATATTAATATTGATTAATAAATAATGACTCAGTGAAGCATACTCGCTAGATTCCTGTTGAAAAACTCATTAAACTCAATCAATTTGATATGTAAAATGGAATGAGAAAGAAAATGCAATAAAAATAATTTTAGAATAATTATCTCTTCAATCTTTTAATAAAAGAAATGATAGAAAGAAACTAATATTATTGAATAATAATAATAATAAAAGTACACATAATACATATACCAACTACCAAGAGTCCCAAATGAGGGGAGCAGATCCAATCTTTGACTTGACCAAAACCGAATTGAATTTGACTAGAACAAGTATGGATTACAGCTCGGAATCAACTTCCTTGGATGCAACGTACCAATGAGTGAAGAATAAGAAAATTCAAATGAGGACGCTTCAACTCCAATTTATAAATACATATAAGACTAAAATATATATTTAATCTTTTAATTTTGTATAATGTTTCAATTTAACCCCTTAACTTTAAAAAAATATATCTTTAATTCTTTAACTCTAAATTTTTTTAAAAAAAATGATGACATCTAGATCTTAAATGTTGATAAAACATTCTCAAATACTAACATATTAAATTTAATTTTCAAAAAATCCATGATCATTATAAAAAAATCATTGAAGCCTAATAATTTTAGGATTAAAAGGCCAAATATATGTTTTTTCAAAGTTAAAAGACCACATTTAAATTTTGTGCAAAATTAAAAAATCAAATATATACTTTAACTTACATATAATTATGAATTTTTTTCAATGGCATGAAAAATACAGCCTTGGAGATTTGGCTTTTTGGCTACTAGGCCACATGAGGAAATGTCCTGTACCTGAAGTAATAGAGAGAAGAAACTGGTAAAGAGGAAATGAATGGTACATAAATTAGAGAAAAGCTACATGCTAAGAGTTAATTTTACAGGTGATCAAACAAAAATAACTGATAAGGCTGTGCAACATCTCAATCCATCCAATAAAAAATTGGAGCTAGCCTCAGTTACATCTACATTCTAACAATCATTTAAGTTCAGATCCATCTTTCATAGTTTCATCCCATGCAATAAATCCCAACAGAACTGAGATATCTGCAAGTTCTGAATCTGCCGTCTTCATTCACTTCCACAGAGCATCACCATCCACGACAACAAGAAGGAGCAACATTATCCCGCTGAGTAAGGTTGGCTTACATGCATCACATAATGCCACTGTACTGCATGAACCACTTTCACCAAGCAGAGCATCCATGCTTCAAATTCATTGGACACTCCAGAATGCAGATTCTTTTGTGTGCAAGGTGCGCCCTGTTTCCATCTCAGTATATTCACCTTTGTGTTCCTGCCAGAGCTAGGGCAGAGGAACTCCAATCCACAAACAACTATCGAACAAAAATCAGCGCAAGTAAAGTTCCGAAATGAGAAAGGTGGAAAGCCTTCAGTATTTGCTTTACACGTCTGGCATCAAAGCTTGCAATTAGCAATTCAAATTGTCTTCATATCCACAAGCCCACCCAGCCTCTGGCGCAATACCCAATTTGAAGCCAATTGTCGCATTCAATCAAAATCCTGATACCTGTAACGATACAACACGTCAGGTCAACTGCTTTTGTCAATCTCTAAGAGCTAAAAATATATTCCATTCCCATTTCAGAAAAGACAGGTCCAAAAGAAGCATGGAATAAGACAGGACCAGATTGTCTCCAAACATCTCTGATATAAACTAGTTAAATAGTGTGCTGGAAACACACGTGTCAAATATAGAATTCTGATCAAATAGAGAGCCAAATAGCAGCAAGAATCAACCTTTCAATTAATATGGAACTCCACACACACAGAGGAGCATGCGCGCACTTGTCACCTGAACCATAATAATCGTTCTTCTTTTTTTTTTTCTTTTTTTTCTTTCACAAACTTAAAACTAAAACAAAACAATTTGCCTAATCCAGGAACTAGTAGTAAGATTAGGCAGCCTGATTCCAATAAGAAATTATGTGCATAGCTTCTCATCATATAGCGTAGGATTTTTCATTCCCAACTATCAGTCTTATATTCAAGGTTCTCACTTCTCAATCATTAAACTTGAGAACAATACTCACTTCCCAATCATTAAACTTGAAAACAATGTACCAATTCCCATATGACGAAAGCTGTCATCAAAAAGAATGGCCAAGTAATTTATTGAAACTGGTATCAAAGCCCTGCAATGTGCTATTTAATGGCCTTGCAGATATTGCATGCCACAAAATCTTAATTACTCATCAATTTTTTGCTATAATAAGTTATTTGTAATAGGATCTATATTTTAATGCCCAAAGAAAATTCAGTTGTTATAAGGACCTTCAACATAAGGCCCAAAAACAAAAGGAACCTTCACCAAGTAAGGAATGTGATGATGTCAGAATTTCACCAAATGGTTGGACAGCAGACCAACATCAAGTAGCATCTATGTTACTCTACCCCTCCATATATCAAGAGATTTACAGAACTTGCAATTCTTTCGTTCAAAACATGACAACTAAGAATAAGCCCTTGCTACGCAGAGAAAATATCCAGGGTAAAACTTTCATACAATCGCATAGGTGCAGCAAATCACATTAATTTTAAACCCCCAGTAAAGTGAATGAATTATAACACAGAAAAGACGATTTTAAGTAGCCATAAGATTTATTATGTAGTTGAACCCCACCTACAATGACCTTCATTGCTGGGCAACTATGTTGAACTTTTTACTGTATTATATGTCAAATCAAACTTCTTGCACATGGTACTCATTTGTGGTAAGCCACATAGTATTGAGGAGTTTTTGAGTGACGAATATGCATAATATCTTGTATTTTTCAGTATCCTTCTTTCCAGTAACATCTTATCCGTAAGTGAAAAACTAAATTATTAATATCAAACCAATAGTCTTTTCTACTCTTACACATCAATTTACATTGCGTATTCTCTCACTTGTCTTATTTACAGTTAATATTCATGACATATGCAGAAATGCTCTCGTTATCCAAATTCAACTGTCACAATTTGGTGCCCTTCGCCTCTTCCTCCCTCCATAGGATATAGCAATTCTAGATCACAATGGCAAAAACAAGCTTTAATTCTTGAAAATTACATCACATCATCATCTTCAATATAATTCAAAGGTCACTCTCGCTGGAGAAAGCATCAAAGGGCATCTGCAAATAATTTTTTCCCTATGGTGAAGTATAAAAATGCCAACATCACAATTTCATAAAGGTTTAGTCCTAATAGAACACAGGGACTAGTTGCAACCACCCCCCCCCCTCAAAAAAAAAAGTGAAAAAGAACAAAACACAGTCAGATTAGTGAACAGTCTAATCCACTGAAATCAATGGACGAAGAAACGTTCAACTCAGCGTGTGACCGTGTGAAATATTACTGTTGCAGAGCAAACGAATCATACCTAAAATTTTTGTTGGGCATCACAAGCCGGATGGTAATTCACTGCAATTAAGTTTTCTCTGCTTGACTAAGATGCCCAATCTGTTCCGGAAGATTATTTACAGTCGGCACATTCCACCAAAATCTATTTACTTCAATAGGTTTTCCTTCATTCTTTCTGGCACCAGAATCCTTCATTTCCATCGGCACCTCTTGTGTCTCTGACGAACCGGGATTCTCTGTCAAGAACTGTTCCCAGAAGACATCATTAACACCAGTCGCCACGGTGGTTGTTTCCACTACTTGTTCTTTTGATGGAACAGTCTCAGGAACAGCAGATGCAGCAGGCTCAGCATTCATGTCTATTCCAGATGACTTTGGCTGAATTTCAATATCTAGTTGCACGCACGATATAGATGGACTATCAGGACAACTTGTAGACTCATCAAAGTCCAAGTTTGAAGAACCCTGAATAAAGGTATCACCAAAGTCAAGTGCAATGTTCTCCCAGAATAACAGAGATGATTCCAGCTGATTCAATCGCTCCATGTCTGATGTCAGCATGGAGATTTCTCTAGGTAACATTTGAGAAGTCTCCATAGGATCTTCAATGCTAGCTTCATCAGAAAAGGATCCACCTCTCGGCATCCTTCGTTTTCTATCCGGGGATTCTGAAAGTGACCAGAGATTTAAAGCAACCCCAGGTTTCTGCAAGGCTTGAGAAATTGAGGAAACCATCTTTTGTTGCTTCTGTTCCAACTTTTCCAAACGGTTGCTTGAACAATGTATTTGTATCTCACAAGTTTTCCATTCCTGTTCATATCTCTGTAAATCTAAGGCAAGTACTTCTTTATCTTGTTTAAGCCTCATTATTTCATCACTGAAATTCTGCCTTTCTGATTCAGACAATGGAGAAGGCCCATGTCCCTGCTGATTCTGCAAAGAATGACTATGAACTGGTTTTCGCCTATGGATACTCTTCAAAAGATGTGGTTTTCCCCTTATAAAATCATCATTCGCAAATTCCCACCGTTCTGGGTCGACTTTTCTAAAACCCTGTTCAAAAGGAGAGGGAAAATGATCAAACACAGTCTAAGCTATCAAAACACAGAAAGGAAAAATGAAATGCAAAACAAGCTGTAACTACAAGAACGTGAGAAGATTCGATCTTCTTACATAAGTATTCAGCTGCCTGATGAAACTCGAGAAGTTATTATGTTTAAAGAATCTTGGTAGCAAAACCCTTGCAAATTCGGTCGGATCCCATACTACAAAACTTTTACTAGTGCTGGTCCAAGAAACTACCGAATCCGAGGAAGGATCCTCCACCATCTCATATGTCTTCGCCAGGAAAGGAGGTAAGGAACCAGAGCCAACCTGAGCTTCATCCATGGGAGAAACTCAAACCCAATTAAAATCCAAGAGTCAATTAATCACCACTTAAATTCCCAATTTGCGACAGAAAAGAGAATCTTCAATCCACATACATATACTGGGCAGATTCCAGATCAAAGGACAAAAACCATTACTCCTCCGTGCAATTTGACCGAGACAAAAACCTACAATGATCTCATTCTTCCTCACCGGAATCAGCCAATCTATAATCCACAATTCATTAACAAAAGCCAATGATTGGACAACTCTATCTGTCCTTCAGAACCTTCGCGATTAAACAAGACAAATCCTTCAACAAATCAAAGCGCACGCGCTTCGCTTCTCTCCATTCAGATGCTCGAACGCTTCATGCTGAAAATAAAAGCAGCCTCTATTGTCGCTGAAAGCAAAACCCAACAAATCATTCTGACCGGTGTTACCTATACATACCCAAGCGAGTAAAATTCGTTCTGTCACCACACACGCTAGAAGCCCAGAGGATTCTTGCCGGCTTTGAATAGTACTGCGGTCTGATTTTTCCAGAGCGGAAGGAAAATTTTCTCCTTTTTATGAGAAAATTATAAAAATGAAAGCTTGCAGGTAAAGTAACAAGAATAGGTTAATTAAAATCCAATGAAAAATAAAAGGGATATAAAAGGATGAAATAACAGGGAAAGCGGGACGCGGAGATGCAGAGGAAAGGGTTTCCTTTTGAGGGTCATCTCCGTTTGACCCACGGAGAGAAGTTTCGCAGAAATTAATGGCGAATCAAAATCAACGGATCCATATAATCAATAAAACTTAAATCTGTATAAGTATTATTTTATATTGTTGCAAGCCTTTTTAATATATTTTCTTCGGTCACGGCGTTTCTGTTTTCTTAATTATTCTAATATTTTTCCGGTTGTTAATATACAGGACTTAATTACTAAATTAATTTTTAGTCTCAATATATAATCTATTTATTATATTTATTATTTTTTAAATTATTCTGACTGATAATCTCTCAATAACAATTAAGTAAGATATAAAGAATATTAAAAAAGATGATTACAATATTTTAAAAAAATATGTCATATTTCTACTAACTTACTTTTTTTTTTAGTTAAATTGGTGTTATATTATGGAGGAGTGTTATTTTTTAGGGGAAAAAAATTGACCACAATCCTCATTTGGTGGATATTATTCTGGTTTCATTCAATATTAATATAATAATATAAAGTATATTAACTAAATTTTTGAGGATTTTCTTGATATTAACTTTGATATCTTACGAAAAAAATTGCAGAAAAATTCTTCATGGCAAAATTTATTTTTCAAAGGTACATGAAATTTGTTTAAAAATCCATGTGCAACTTATTTTCAGTAGGTACAATTTTTCTTTAATTATGTGCACCATTTTTCAATTATATACAAAATAAAAAAAAATTTAAATGTAATTAAAAATAGATTGTACATGGCTGAAAAATAATCACAAAGTTGAGCTGCACCCACTCAATTTTAAAAGTGTATGTGAATACCTTTTTTACATTTTTATAAACTCTATTTTACTCTATCTATGATACTCTATCGATCCTTAATATAAGATCTATTTAACTAATTTGATTATATTAAAGAAGTTAGGTAAGCTAGTTAATTACAAAAACTATGACATATTTTTTCTAAAATACTATAATCATCTTTCTTAATATCTTATCTTCCTCTTTTACTTGGTTATAATTGAGAGAGTATCTATAAGAGTAATTTAAAAAAATTGATAAATATGATAGATAGATCTTATATTTAGAACTTAAATCAACTCAATAATTAAGTTTTATATTAAATACTGAAGAAATAATAAATAAAATAAAAATATTGATAGAAAAGTTCCGAATGGCTGATGTGTAAACCATTGCACATTTGCTTAAGTATTTTATTTAGGATGATAAAAGTCATGTCACGTGACAGATAAGAGGAGCATACCTTATTATTTTTGTTATGAGAGGCACACGTAATATGTTTTTGACCTATTAATATTAACCAACGCGATTAACGACAAAAAGAATAGTCTTGCGGATCTTAGATTTCCCAAATAGCCCTGAATTTCATTGGGGGCCGACCATTGGGCTGAAGAGAGGCGGCGGCAAAATTCCACAATGTGGGGCCCATCTTATTTTAAAATGAATTAATTAATGGCTACGATATTTTAAAAATTTGTGATAAAATAAAATAAGACATTTGGGCGAGGGACAGAGGATAAGGATCACAGCTTCATTGATGATAGGAGATGGCGTGGCTTCAATCTGTGTGGTTTGGTACTTGGATGATGGGATTGGCAAGACAGTATGATTGTGTCTCTTTTTATATTAAAATAATTGCATATAATTATCTACGGCAGTAGTTTTTTAATTGAAGATTCATCTATGA